ATTTGCTGATAAACAATCTCCCCTCTCCCCCATTTTTTACATCCCTTCGATTCTGCTTCAAATTTCAGCTTTCCTAATAACGGACGTTAGACGATTATTAGCTTGGCCCATTTGGGACGAAGAGTGCCTTCATTTCAGCTACAACTGCATTGTTTTATGCTTGTTTCCTCCCCCTTCCCTCCTCTCCATTTTATTTCTTCCTGAAGTATTTGCTCAACAAACCTGTGGCAATCCACGTTTTTTAGCTCGCGGCGAAACTTTGGTAGCATCAGCCTGAAGCATTCGGCCATATTCCTCGCAGTGCTCCTTATCTTCGGCCCACGAATAACCCTCACGCAATGTCCAATCCATACCCATTTCGAGGCATTCCTGAAATGATGTGCGTTGAGAGCAGAACCGATAGCGTACTATTTTTGCGCCTAATATTTAATACACAAAATCGTCAAGGCAACGCAAGAATGTGAGAAATTGAATGAGAAGGCAAATTTAGCTGGTAACAGGAAAGTCAAATCAAAAAGTTTACCTCTTTCTCGCCCTTTCCTCCTCTATCTTCTCTTTCTCTTTGCATCTTGATCTTCCCTCTTAACCCATAGCATCGGACTTCGACAACTCTCTACTCTTGAAACCCGCCTTCTAGACTACTCCCTCCCCCTCTCAGAAACAACTCCGAGATTCAAAACTAGCATAAGAGGACAATCCCTGTGCCTACGGTGAGAGCAGAAAATATACTAATTGTGAGGAAAAACAGAGGAAACCAACATATTTTCAAAAATGTACTGGAACATAGACACAACTTTACAAAAAATAGACTCTTGCAAAAATAACACTTCAAGAAGCGTACTTCAAATTGCTGAGCACCAATCGGAATTATTCCTTTCGATCCAACACCCACTGGTATATGATCGAACAGCGATTGTGCTAACTGCTCCTTCACCGGCTGCACATCTTTCTCCGACAAACACGTCCGAATTAGGCGCACACCGCAATTTATATCGAATCCTACGCCACCTAAACAAATTCATCGCTGCTACAACTCTGTGATGACTTTAACACAGCAATGTTTTCAGGGCTGATCAGCGAAGAGGGAGAAGGTGAAGCGGGGGGGGGGGGGGGGGGGGGGGGGGGGGGGAAGGGG